GCAGACGAAAAGTGGTTTTGCCGAAGGTTTCTCCAAACTGGTAGCCGTACTGAGGGACAAAACCCTCATATCTGAGGAGGAAATCAAGAAAAGAGCATTCACTCATGAGACATTTGAAGATGTCCTTTGCACATACAGAATAATTTGGTTTGGGGCTTTTGCATAACAGAAAGAACACGTACAGGGAGCGTACATGGGTTTGGGAACATGGACCTTGGGAACAGGATTTTGCAGAGAAAGAGGTCTGAGCATGAACGTGTTTGTGCCAGGGTATTGCTCTGCAGCAGGCAGGCAGAACCCGCGTGAGCAGCGTGCAGAGGTACGTGGTTTATGCACGAAGCCAGGCATGCCCGTGCTCACACGTAGCATGGGTGTGCAAGCATGCACGCTTTCACATGGGAGCAAACAACACTGGCTCATAAAGTTACAGCTGTATACAGAGTTGTGTTTAGGCTCCTGTATGAACACGTGGCAAGGTCAGTGAATGCTTCTGCAGAAGCACATGTGTATGGTATGATAGGAAAACTAACAACAGCGGGAGCACGGCGCGAAGCCTTGACTTCAGAGCTCCCTAGTTCTAATATTAAAGTTAAACATGCTTTAATTTGAAATTTTGTGATGCATCTCAGTTCTGAAACCTAGTGAATTATTGGCAATTTCCACATGTCTCTTGTTCAATATCAAATTTCAGCTAATGAAAAAAAAATATTTTAAACCTCCAAACAATTCTGTCCCGTCTCCTCATAAGGAGGATCGGGGCAGGACACGGCTTCAGCAGTGGATTCGTGAAAAGCCGCACCGTCACCACGTTACGTTGCGGGGAGGCCCTCACCCGAGACTGTTCAGCCCGTAGCCAGGGCAGGTCACCGTGTTGTTTGAGGACCTTTGTGCAAGGCGTGAAGTGACATTTAGTGCACCCGCACGTAACCACCTCTGTTCCAGTCGAAACCGCGGCTGTTAACAGCAGGCCCTCCTGCCAGCTGGGGGGGCCACGAGATCCTCATCCTGCGGACAAGTGGCATTTATCCCATTTGGAAGAGAACGGTCATTGTTCCTGCAAGCCAGATGTATCATGTTAACCCTAGTTTTTCTAAAGACGGGTGTCTAACCAAACCTTGGCATCCAGGTTGCTTTCTAGTCTCTGGAGCAGACAGACCCCTCCAGGAAGGCACTCACTTTCCGAGGATGCTGATCTTGGCTTCCTCCCTGGCTCGGGACAGGCAGTTTGACTTCCTGACAGTGAACTTTTGAGTTTTGCATAGCTAACGCTGGGGGAGGTGGATTGGACCTTCGGCACTCAGGAAAGGGGTCTCAGCTCAGGTATGAAATAGAAACTGTAACTTTTCCTAGCATCAGTAGTTTCCTAATGATGATGTTATGCCACTGCTGAAGGAGAAAGGTAGAACTGCCAATCGCACCACAGAGACAGAAATACTCGATCAATAATCTTGCTGCGTATCAGGGGGAAAAGTCAGATGATGCACAACATGATGAGTAAGTACTTCCCCTGCCAAATACGTTAAACAACAGCTAGCAGAGGTATGTATTTACAATTAGCATGCCTCCCTATTTTACAGGCAGGATTTTTTTTTTTTTTTTTTTTTTTTTAAATCAAAAGCTGGTGGAGGAGCTCCACAGCCCATTCTCATTGATTTTTTTCAGCGAGCTTTGGATCATGAGGAAGCTATGCAGGGATGGTAAAGCCAAGCAAGAGCACGAATGACATAGCCCAAATAATTATAGGCTTGTCAGAGGGATTTTGATCATGAACAAAGTAATAATAGGGCTGAGAAAGGACTCAATTTATAAACAATTAAATGTAGGCTAATTTGAGGAGCTCAGGCGAGTCTGTCTGGGTTTGCAGGGGATGGATGTGCCCCATAACTGAATTACAAGTTCTGCTAATGAAAGCAGCGGAGCTTCAGCAACAGACCTAGACTTCTACGTGCTACATGACTTTGTCACACATGATACTTTGATAAAGAAATTAGATACCCACAATTTCTGTAGTTCACACTAAACCATTTCAGTCACGGACCTCAAAATTCATATGCAGGCAGCAAGCAAATAACATGCTTTCCTCAAGGCTGTGCCTAATTTCACTTTTCTATTACTCAATCCTATCTTTTAAGTCACCACTCCCTAGACTGTCATGTAAACCTGCTTGGCTTTCTTATTCACCAGGGAAAAGCCCTGGCCCGCTGCCCATCCTTGCCCCAGCACTGCCAAGCCTCCTCGAGGTGGCATGGGCAGGTCTCAGCATCCAGAACAGGACCTGCTTCGTGGAGTTACCAGATCTCCCTATGCTTAGTCCTTTCCCACTGTGATTTGTCTTCCTAACACTTGAGTACTATGCTGGCATTTTCAAAGACCTGGCCCAACACGCTCGAGCGACAGCAGCCAGTTTTGATCCCTTCATTGCGTTTGCAGATGTACTGGTGAGGCCCGAGGAAGGGTGTTCACCTGCCCCGGGGCAGCAGCGCGGCGCGCAGTAGTCAGCGCACCACACACAGTAGAGCCAGTTAGCCACTGCCACGGGGCGTGCAGTACATCCCCGCACTCCTTCCTCCTCCTCCATCTCTCCCTTGACCTGCCAGCACCCGAGCCTCGTGCCAGGTTCAGCACAAGTGCTATTTCCCTCTAATTACAGCAACATCCAAGGTCCCCTATCTGCTTTGTTGGGGCCTGTTCAGATTCAACCACCCAAGCCATGCACAAACACTCATCTGTCTGTGAGGTCTTCTTCAGGGCTTCAGAGGGGTGCTGCCCCTCTGAACCAGCAGCCCCTCTTATACCAGCAAGCCCATGCTGGTACTGAGAAAAGCAGTGGCAGAACTTGGCCCTTTCAGCTCAACATTCCTCCTCACCCCTTCAGGGAACGGAGGAGCAACCTGAAGACAAGCAGTCCAAGCTATTACATTGGCATTAGGGCCTTAACTGTCTGAAGGCAAGAATGAGGAAGGGAAAACTGAGCCTTTTGTCTCTAAAAAGCAGATGCAACCACAGCCATGGTGCCCGTCATGTTATTAGCCCTCATTTCTGACCTGTGCTGTCAGCACAGAGCTTTGAACATGGTAGCGCACACGTGGTATAAAATCACATCATGCATCAACTGCAGCAATGCAACAGTATGTAAAAAAAAAAAAAAAAAAAAAACAAAAACAAAAACGGAGCTTATGTTATTTTTCCAGATATAGTTCAGTAATGGAAAAATCCTGCCTGTTGTTCAGATTGCAAGGACTGATTTGATCTGTACATTGTTATAGGAGCATCATTAAGAAAGAAAATATACTCCACCCATTACCTGTGGCTTCAGCTTCACCTCCTTCCCCTGCCTGTACCTATGCTGGATCTGCATTCATGCACAACTCAGGTAATTTTTCTCTGTGCTGATTTTCTCTGCTGCCTGTTTTGTCCCCAGTTGCTCCATACTGTGAGGTCTTTTGGACATCTTTCAAAGTTAGCCTTAGACTTGAGTAACCCAAATAATTTTGTACCATCAGAAACTTCGGTTACCTTGGTGGCCATCCAGCCCTTTCCAGATCACTTACGGGTGCGCTGGAGATCGCATGTCCCAGCACACATCACCAGGGGAGCCCAGTAGCAACTTGTCTCCATTTCACTGTGAAACCTATCCACTTATTTCTACCTTTTGTTTCTTATCTTTTAACTAATAACTAATTCATAGGGACCTCTTAGCCAAGGACAGCTTTGTTTTTTCAAAGGCCTTTAGAGGGAGACTTTGCAAAAAGCTTTTGAAAAAATCCAACTACATATTAACTAGATCGTTATCTCCATAGTCACCAATTTCTTCAAAGAACGTGGATAAATCTGGAAGCATGACTACTCCCTATGAATTTGTCAGTGTATCGTGTTTATGCAAATATTTATTCAAACAACATATTCAAACATGCTTGATAGAAAGGTCATCTAAATGTGGAATCAAAACTCTGAATAGCAGCAGTAGTAACACTTGGCAGCTTGAAACAAAGCAATGAAAATAAAGAACAGTTTTCAAGTTCCCCCAGTGTGCTATTCGTATAGCCTTTAATTACACCCTACTGTCAAGGCGGTATTTTTTCCCCCCACCCGGAGCCCTTGCACTTTTAAAAGAAATATTTAATATATATATATTTAATAATATAAACAAAAATCGTGAATTAAAGTGCTTTATCCCAATCAGATCTCTCAGTGTCAGGAATGAACAAACATGTTGGACGAACTTCAGAGCTTACCCTGGGATATAGTAAGGATCAGGAGGGAAGAGGCTGCTTTTCTTTGCAGCTGCCATAGCAATGCGTCTCCTGTGGCCAGAGAAGCCGGAGGAAGCGGTGGCAGGGCCCGCGCAGTTGCCTGGACGACCTCTGTGATGCTGGGGCCAGCGGTGGCTGCCCCGGGAGACACTCAGTGCTGCTGTGCCACAAGCACAGGTTTCTCTGGATGTGTCTTTTTTCCCTGTCCAGAAATCTTGGAGGAGTAGAAAGATTTTGTAGTATTTATCAGAGGCTTTCTGAAGGCTCATAGCCCTTGGGACAGTAGTACCAGATGTGGCCACTTATGGAGAACAGCACACGTATCTTCACATCCAAATCACCAACAAACCGGCCCTGCTGCGGGTGCAGCAGCATCTGGTGCAGCCCAGGCACAGCGAGGCCAGCGCTGGCCAGGCACACTGCGTTCATGTGCACATGCTTCCATTGAGGAAACCCCCAAGCTCAGTGTTAGGAGATGCACCGCTCCGCAGTGGAAGGTGTTTCAACCCTCCTCTCTGTGCCCGGGCAGCCCAAGGCAGACAGCCCCTCTCCAATGGCGGGAGGGTACCTGCAGATTTGCCCTCCCCTTCAGAGGTTCACAGACACAAGTTGTGCTACCTTGCTTCAAACAGGATAAAGGCCGTTCCCGTTTTGAACGTTGTGCAGTCAAGGTGCCTTGCACACTCTGGGTTTCAGTTCCCTCCGGCCAAAGACAGCCCAGGACACAGGTCTCCCACCTCCTGAACAGGCGCTGTGGTTGGCACGTTTCTTGCACAAGCACTGCGTGTTGCACCGGCGCCGTTTCTGCCGACTCTGATCCCAGCAGTGAACCAGGCTTCTGCAAAGGCTGGTGGTGCAGGACATCGCAAACTCACCAAATGGCCTCAGAGAACCCAGGCCACGCAACCAGCAGGATTATGCCACTGGGCTGCCAGGACCCTTTTAAGAGATACCCATCAGAAAGCAAAGGTATTTAGAGATTCTTCTCATTTGTTTAGGTGCCTACACTCTGCCTGAATTGTATCAGAGGAGATAAAATGCTGTTTTGACTTTTGCTCTCAGTGCCTAAACTCTTTGGGAGATCTGGGGTTTCTGACCTTAAAAAATATCCGAGCTCCTATTTGTGGCCAACTTCTACCAGCAACCCCAGGTCCGCAGTGGGGCTGGGGGCTGTGAAGGGCAGGACAACTCTTGGATGTGCACAGTGAGAGACCAAGAGGCAATGGGGCGCAAGCTGCAACTGGGGAAAGGCCCACTGGACATGAAAAATTCTTCCAAGAGAGTGATGAAGCCCTGGGAGCAGGACAAGAGAGGTGGCAGCATCCCCATCTTTGGGGATCTTCAAGACTCAGCTGGACAAGGCCCTAACCAACCTGATGCAGCTTTGAAGTTAGCTCTGCTTTTAGCAGACAGGTGGATTAGAGACCTCCAGAGGTCCCTCCAACCTAGATCTTCCTATGAGTTAATGCTAAGAAAAAATTGCTTACTGAAAGGCAGCACCATATTTCAAGTGAGGTCTCACAGCACTGGAACAACAACTGCAGGCTGTTCCAGGTCCCCATCCGCCCTCCTCAGCTCAGGAGGGTGGACCAGGCCCATCTTCCCAGGGTTTTCAGAAACTCCTTTCGAAGTTTGCTCCTTTAAATGGCCAATGGCTGCTCCTACAAACTTGGAGGTTACAGATTTACCGAAGAGCTACTGAGCAGTCAGTCCAAAATACCTGTACTCACTGCAGACACCTAGGTAAAAAAAAGTAGAAATTCACTTTTGTCAAGGTTATCATTAGGATTTATTGATAAGAAACTTTGTATGTCAACATTTCAATGGAGGAACAGCACATCTGACAACAGAAGTACAAAGCCCACCCAGGTGAAGTTACAGCACACCAGTATCTCTGAAGTCAGAGGTACAGGAGATCACTCACATGGCTGCACATTACTTAGGTACCTTATGAGACATGATAGAAAGATTCCAGAAATAAAACCAACATGTGCTTAGCCAGTCACCAGGGTGTCACATCACATACGCAGCCATAGGCTGCAGCAGGAACCACTGCTGGCTTCGACTCCTCTCGCTTAACTCCAGATGTTACAGCATGCATCTGCTACAGTGAGTCACCTGGGGCCCCTTTGAGTCAAAGGGGGAAAATACCTACTTTCAGAGTGAGATTCACCTGACGCAGCGTAGCCCTCCCACAGGGATGAGATGACTTGTGCGCTGACTCTTTATCAAGTAAAGGGAGCTCAGAAGACCAGCTCAGATGGTGACACCCTCATGCAGTTAGATGAATCCCACACCGGATCTCAAACATGACGATCCGGATACAGTCATATGCGAGTGAGCTGTAACTGGGCAACTTCATTACAGAATGTGTTCTGCTTGGACAGCAGAAAGGGACATAACACACAATCCCGGTGCCTGCCAATTCAGAAACAGGTTTTTTTTCTTCTAATGTAATGGTCAATTATCTTCTTATAACTGTTTCAACATTCCTTCTCTTGGCAGTGTCCCCGTACAGAGCTCTTAGCACAGACAGCCATTCACACTGCGCTTGTGGCAAAGATAAAAGTTATCTTTACAAACCTTACCCAATATATACACTACACTGAATGCTGTTTAAAAAGCCAAGTGCTGAACTTTCATCTTCTCCCAGCTTATGAAGTATTTGGTTTGGTCCTAAAGTATCTTGTTATACAATTAGGGACAGTATAGAAGAGTATTCCCCAGGCACCTGACAAATCCACAATGGATTTATTGTAGGAACAAGCCGAATTCTCTAACTCATGCCAAATGGGCTTCAGAGCCCTGTAAAAACCTCTGCAGAATGAGCCGTTTGTGACATAACTGAAAAAAACAATCCCGGTTCAGTGAATAAGTTGTCTCATTCAAGCAGAAAGCATCTGAAATAACATGCAAACCCACCCTGATCAGAACAAAGGGGCTACCTCCTGATGCCAGATTTGATCACAGCAGTAAAGGAGCCCCGGCCGAAGTGCATCTGCCTGGCTGACAGAGCTCAACTCGCCCCACCGAGAGCGCTGCAGACCTGAAGGGGAAGCACTGACACTAGGAGAGTGAGCGAGAGCGTGTGCGCACATGCACACGTGGGCTGGGGGGGCAACACATACCCTGTTCCTCTTCCTCTCCCACGAGCTACAGAAGTGACATAGCAGGTTCTGCTCTCAGCCATTCCGTTTCACCAAAGGCAAGTTCCCTCTGCACATGTAACAGCATCGACTTAGGAGGTCTCATATTAATGGGTAGTTATACAGGATTAATTGCACATCAGTCCGTTGTGGCTACAAGTTCATTAGGCTAATAAATCTACATAGTGACAGTAGTACAGTATCAGCTACTTTTCAATACAAACTCCCTACCCTAGTCTTTATTTGTAGGTCAAAAGAAGATCTACTGTAACAACCTTCCAATGACCTTTAACATTCATTTTTTTCTTTCTTTTCTTTTTTTTTTTTTAAGAAAAAAATCCAGTGTGGGGAAAATGCACATATATAACCAAAGCAGTGCTTAACAACCACAGGAAAAAAGAACACGATCTTGGACTCTATCTGCATCCTCCATAGACCCTTGTAAAATTACTTCCAAAGGGTTGCTAAATCCAGCTCTGTCAGTTCTCAAGTCTGTTAAACCATTTCCTAGTTCTAGTCATATCTAGTTTCTCACTATACATATTGCCTGTAGCAAGAGCATACTGAAGCACTTGCTAATGTGCACAAGACTTCCATTGGATTTAATGGAATAGTTTTAGATGACTGAAGACTGCTTCTACAAATCTTTTCTTGAATCATAACTCCCAAACCAACCAGTAGCTTTCAGGAAAGAGCTCCAAGTCCCTTGCAAAGTTTCACTCATTCATTCTGCCCAAAGATGTATGGGCATCTAAAAATCCCTCTCACAGTATTCCCAGGAAATGATTCAGAAGAGGAGATGATTTTTCAACCAAATGAGATCCTCTGGTCCTGTGTGTCAGACCATGGCCAATAGAATGAGCAGCTGCCATGGACGTCTCAACTTAAATAGATTACAGTCAAGGGAGGAGAGCAAGGTGGCCTGACCATCTTCCTGTGAGGTACAGGCAAAGAGAGGCAAAGTCACTCAGTTCTCCACAGTTTGTCTCCTTTTCTCGAGTCAGATGTTTGATTCCATCTGTTCTAGCAGGAAGTGGTGAATCATGTCAAAAGTGGGACGATCTTTTATATCCCTGCTCCAACATTTGAGCATCAGGTCAAATACAGGGTTAGGACACAGAGGAGTCTGGGAGAGATAGATCTGGAAGAAAAAATACAACTATTTCAGTGGTTTCATTAAAAAAAAATACAACTATTTCAGTGGTTTCATTAAAAGAATTGAACCTTGACACAATTAAAACCAAAGGACAATTTCGTCTTAGGTTTTACAACACAGCAGTCATGCAGTGTTCAAAATCTATTAAGCATGAATCTGGAAGGGAAGTCTGGATGAAACTTAGACATGTCTCAAAAGGCACAGCAGACACTTTGCCAATGTGTTTGATGACAGAGCTGGTCATAAAGCAGTTTTGTCCCATAGGAAACAAACATTTTGGAGATTTTTCTTCCAAGTGACAGCAACACACAAACCCGAACCAAATTTACCACAATAAAATCCAAATACTTTCACTCACCGCAGACAACCCATGAGGCTTTCTAAGCATCGTGATAGCTTGTTAGCAGAGAGAAAAAAAACCTTTTAGAGCTTATCTGAAGCACAAGTTGGCAGAAATAGTTTATTTTGGGGTTTTTGTTTGGTTTTTTCCCCCCCCTTTCAATACACTCATCTTTTAATCTCTTTACTAGATCATTCATATGTGGCAGATAGTGAATAAAACCTTTATTTCCTTTAATCCTTTAATTTGTTTGGTGCTAAAGGTGAGTTTTGGTAGATTAGCAAATAACAGGCACTCCACTTTTTTGGGTAGAGTGATCCTCAGTAGTGAGGTGAAGGGCTGTGTGCGCTCTATCTAGTGCCATCACAGATATCAAAGATCCTCACTGATTCAAGGGGATGAAGGTAGCAGTAGCAGACTGCACAGTGCTGCCTGGAAATTAGAAAGAGGACAGGTAGTGACACAGAAAGGCCCTTCAGTAATTAGGGATGGTCAGAGGCATCTTGGCATGTGTGGAGATAGAGGGAATATCCAACTCATGGGGACTAACAGTTCCTCCTTCCCCAACTCATTAAGCACTTCCTCATTTTTCAGAGGAAATGCTAACGGGAGAGATCTGACAAGGGAAAGGAGCAAAAGGATTGTGTAGGTGGGCCCAGCAAAGCCAAGAAGAACAGTGCATCAAAGGCAGCTTGAAATGGAAGTGGCTTATAATAAGGAAGAAGCACAGACAGGGCCAAGAGGTTCTTCCAGTGGGACTCCAAGAGAGGAAAGCCAGTGCCACGAGGCTGGATGAAGGACAGGAGAGTTGGGACACACTTGAAAAGGACAGGAATAGAAGCAGGGACCTCTGCAGAAGAGGTCAGGCCACCAGGAAGGCCCCTGGGAGATCCACTCTGATGTGCTGGGGCAAGCAAAGAAGTCACATTTGTGTTCTTACCTGCCTGCCCTGGCTCCGGAAGAACTCGCCTGTGTTCTCAATGACCTGCTCATCTGAGAGGAGGCTGTAAGGTTGCTCCTTACACAGTATGAACATCTCCCAGAGGGTGACCCCGAATGCCCAGACGTCACTGGCTGTAGTGAACTTGCCCTGTGAACAAAAACAATGTTGTAATCCTGCTTTGCTCACAGTACACATTTAGGAAAGCCATTTCAATCTAAGCTCTTAGCAGCCAAACACGAGGACACAGCATTTGTACCTCAGAAAAGGCTCTCCATACAGACAGCAGAGCAGGTGACCTGCTCTTGGCAATGCACAGAGGGATCCAGACAGCTCTAAGAAGGTACAACTTTCACCAGGGCAGAGCCCTTGAAACAGAGGGCAAGTCTCAGGGAAAAACCAGAGGCTACTGTGCCTCTTTAGAGGAAAGACTACGTATTTGTCTGCAGCAGGAGCAAAACGGTGTGGACTAGGGTGGGGAAGGGGATAGCTGCAGCCAACCTTCCCCTGCAATACAGCAGGGAAGCACAGAAAAGATTTTGAATACAAAGCAGAGTGCTAGGGGTGAAAGCAGGCTCTAGATCACACGTCTCAGAGGAAGAAGGGCAAAAATCCTGGTCCCTGCACAGTAAAAGTTGGTGACAGTCTGCTCACTGTCTGTTCTTTGCCTTAAAGAAAAAAACAGGACAAACCTGCTGTGTTTGTAACAATGTGTTTCCAGAGAAATAACAGGAAGGTAAAGATTACTCACAAAAAGGCAGACAAAATCAGGGGGCCAGAGGGCCTGTTTGGTCAAAAAACACCCAAGACCCAGATAGCTCAGGCTTATCTGGCAACCCTAGCAGTCTGCAAATGTTTGGAAGATGTTAACACAAGGAAGATGGAAGTGATTTATAGTTTAGATGAAGCAGTAGCCTAGGACAGTGGGGTGAATTTAGAAAAGCTTAGGCAATTTATCAGCCTTTAGAGTGGTGTGTAATTAGAATTTTGCTACGTACTTGTAAAAAATATAGCTAGATGCATCACACAAATTAGTTTGAAGAGGAACTATCAAGCTGAATATTAAGGAACTGCCTTTGGACTGAACGTGTTCAGCTGTTAAACCATCTCCTAAGGGATGACAGCAGAACCCTTAAAAAACATGAAGCAAAATCCCTACCTTGAAACCAGACTTGGCACTAAAAACCTCATGTTTTATCCCTGCCCTTCTAAGCTTCACAGCTAGGAAACAGGGACAGAAAGGCAACTTGTTTACGTTCTAGCAGGAATCATGTATGCCAGGAACAGAACAGAAATTAGGCTGTGGATGATCTGTGCTGCATTGTTTGCAAGGGCACCCTCCTTCCCCAGGAGACGCGATATGCCTGGCACAAGGACATCTCACGAGGGGCCATCGAAATCGTATGTTGTGATACCGTAAGGGCTGGTACATGGACATGTTACTGATTCAGAGGAACAGTGAAAACCAAAAGTGGGCAAAGAATTGTTCTGTGCGGTCCTTACCAGAAGGATGCTTTCCCAGGCCATCCAACGTATTGGTAGTACAGCTCTTCCCTGGATACGGTAGTAATCCCCACTGTAAAGGTTCCTGCTCATGCCAAAGTCTGCAATCTTGATGGTGTAGTTGTTCCCCACCAGGCAGTTGCGAGTGGCCAGATCTCTGTGCACAAAATTCAGAGATGCTAAATACTTCATTCCCGAGGCAATCTGGGTGGCCATGTACAGCAGGTTAGAGTAGCTGCGTTAAAACAAAACAAAACGGAAAGAAAGTCAGAGGCGTTCCTTGCATTCAACTCTTCTTTGAGATTACCTGCTGCTGGGGCCTTGCATTTGATGTACCATAAGGACGCAATGATATCCTGTCACTTAGTTTTTTTGCTGTAAAAATGAAACCAAGCTGTTTAGTTGCAGGGCATTAAAAGCCCTACCTGTCAGGCTAGGCCAAGTCCCTGAGCTGACCAAGCAAGGACAAACTGTCCCTGAAAGATTTAATAATTCACAAGCAGTAATTCATTGGTTCCACATACAAGTATAGCAGATATTCAAGGAGTTTATGCATCATAGCACCAACTTTTCACAGAGAGCCAGGAAAAAATTAAGTTGCAGTCTCATGACCGTGAGATCAGAATCTCATGTCTTGCAAATTACTTAATTTGGTATTCCACAAACACTGCAGTTGTAAATATCACTGTAAGTATGCCACATAACATTAGAGAGCGCTTACCTTTCTTGTTTTATATGCTTGATATTACTAAGTTTTTTAGCAGATGTATTTTACATCTATTATAATTTTATTTGCAATTCCTTTTATTAGAAAAAGGAAATTAACATTAATAAAGTTGCATGATATACTGCCTGACTATGGACCATCTGACTTTCAGGATTCTTCACATGCCACTATTTTGTGATGCTCAGCTTAATTCCCATTTCGCATGCTCAAACACTTCACATAAACAAGCATTTGTCACAACAAATCTAATACGAACAAACTGTTCACGGCTAATAATTCTCTGATAAAGCTCAGTGGGGGAGGCCTTATTCTCTTCCTCTTTGCATTTTGGTGGCAATGAGAAAAGCAGTGCATATCATGTTATCTAAATTATACTAATCTAATCATCTAATGATAACACATCCAATCTGTTCTAAGCTATTGCTACAGCTATTCAGAGGCGGCCACTCTTTTCCAGCACAGCACCATCAGCTATCAGGAAGGCCCAGGTATCACTGCCCTCCCAGCCTTTCAGCATGCTGAAACCACAACCCAGCCAGGTGACACCTGGCCAGACCCACAGTCAGCTGGATGTTGCTCCTGATCTGGACAGGCCTGATGTCTCCCCAGAGAAGCAACTTTGCCACGTGCTTCTGCTTTGTTAACCCAGTTAATCCAGCTTTCCGCACAGGAGTGGGCAGAGCCTCCAGGCCCTACCTTCTCCCATGCCCCTGCTCATCTGGGGTTGTCTCCCTGCTTGGGGTTGGCACAGGCTACTCAAGCAGTCCCATTATCCCATCTGCATCCTGGCAAGGTCTTTTGGTTCCCTGCCCCTCTGCTCAGTGAGATCTGCAGTGCCTGCTGCCCTGCATAAAGAGGGGCAGGACAGGCGATATTTCTCAGCAGACCACCCACTTGTCTTCATGAGTTGCTAGACAGATAGCTACAGAGATAGTAAGAGACACTGCAAACATTTAAGAGCCATAAGGGCTTAAGAAACATGGTGACCAGCCCTCTCCTTCAGACAGGTCACATATTCAGTGCATGAAGTAATAGGCTTCAATGATAGGCTTCAATAGGACTTTGCCATGTGAATTAGACAGCCACAGGAGCTGGTAGAGACAAGCTGCAATCTTTGGCTAGGGGATTCATTTCACTTTCAATAACCACCTCCTGTACAGATAAATATTTGAGCTAGTCATACAAGATTCCTTTAATATGAAACTATACTTGGTTGGAAAATGGCATAAAAGGAAACACTAAAGGATGGGATGAAGGATCAGATGGAGAGACAGGAAAACCAGAAGCCAGACCAAATCATAAAGCAACGGAGACTGAAAAAGAAGAATGTGAGCGACAGCGCTAAAGTCAGATGACAAGTCAGGAGCAAAATGAAGAAGAAAGGATAGTTCAAGGCTTTGGGGCAGGAAAGTGCCGTAAGCCTAACGGTCAAAGTCGTGCGTGTGTGGAAGAGACAAGTGACTGGAGAGAGCAGGAATAGGTTTCTACATAGATGTAAATCCTCTCCCATCCCATAGTTCCCAGCGTATCATGACCCTGCAGGATGCCAGAATAACATTCCCCGACAAGACTGTTGCCCACTGCCAGCTACCAGCAGAAACACTGATGTTCTCTAGACAGGGCAAGATACAGCCATCTCCTGTGCAGTCCATCAACAGAACTTGTTCTGCCCTGTTGTTTAACTATAAATTAATCTTTAACACTTGTAGGGGTACATGCCAAGGGCTAAGCAATGCAGTGAATCCTCATCAGAACAGGTCTCTTTACTAAGCAGAATAAATGTCTTCTTTCAACACACAATGCTCCTTTACGAGGAGAGGACTTTCTGCAACAGTAGAGATGCTTTTAAGTTAAGCTTAATCTTTCTGCATAAGAGAGATTAAAAGTGCCAGGGCTGACAGAAAATGGTTTTCTTTGCCAGAGAAATGTTCTCCTTCAGCTGGCTGATGAAATCTTTCCTTTCCTTTCATCTTTTAGAGTGAAGCTCTACACTCAACTCTCCTCCCCCTTTATATTCTCTCCCTCCTTTTTTTTTTTTTTTTTTTAAATAAAAAACACCTAGAACCAAGGAAACATTTTAAAAGACTAGCAGAAATTCTTGACTTTCTCCCCAGCGCAACTGGTTTGCCATATCAATCAGGTATTTGATGCAAGCTGGCTAATGTAAAAAGATGCTTAAGTTGGCAACAAAACAACTAAGGTGCTCACTGTGACCAAAACGGCCAACAGTTAGGGACGCTTCACAGGAACATGGACCTCTGGAGGCCTTTAAAACAAACTCCCACTCAAAGCAGGGCCATCGCCCACAATTTATGCTGTGGTGATGGCCAGGCTGGAAGAAGGTGACTCCCTAGAAGGCACAGCAGATGAAGCTGTAGTAGCTCAGCATTCCCGATTAGTCCTAAACATGGGCTGCTCTTACCTGACACAGGGAATGTTGTTTGAAACAGCAAATTTGCTGTAGATCTCCCTCTGTGACAGGAACTGATTGAGGTCTCCGTTTTCCATGTACTCTGTTATCATACACAGTGGGTCATCACGCACACACACGCCCAGGAGTCTGATGATGTTTGGGTTCTTCAGCCGTGACATGATCTTGATCTCCTTCAGGAAATCATTCCTTTTAACATAGAAAACACAGGTTTGAATCCTAGGCTATTCCTTTGTCTAAGGAAAAGAGAAGCAGGATGTAAGGAAGCTAGAAATCCCTGATCAGATACAGCAACACCTCTGTACATTGTAAGTTTGAAAGATAGTTCTGTGCTTGTGGGCAATATCCACCCTCTCCCCAGGAAACAGGGCAAAGACAGCGTTTCACAAACAGACATTATGTCTATTCTTAGTCTCAATTCCCTGCTTGTATCCTAGTATTTACATGAACACACAAAACACGCACCAGGGGCATGCCTCTTACAGAAGTCAGAAGTCACTAGGTTAACTTGTGTTGAACCGCTGCGTGAAGAATGCTGGTCTTCATTCTCAGATGGCTGCTACTGCAGATGGACTTACCTGGCTGTTTTGTTGACATCTGATCTTAGCATTTTCACTGCTACTAGAACTGGTTGGCGGGTGAATTCTGTGGAAGAAACCCCCAGAAATTCCAGCAGGCCATCAGCTTCACATAGGTGCACCTGCAGGACAGAAAGCAGTGGCAACTGAGAGCACGCATGGGGAGAAAAACCAGAGGAAAACAATGCCACATTGAGCCACGTTTGGTCACAGCTGGCAGAATGACTCCAAGTGAATGATCTAGCACAGGTAATTCTTTATTCTGATGGCAAACAGCCTATAGGATGGCTCTAGATCCTGGACAAAAAGAACGTGCTTACACTACAGAGTCCATGATGTTGGAAAGGACACAGGCTGCAACCTGACGGGTCCCCAGCACATCGAATTTACTGCATGCACGCAGATCGCTGGTACAGTGCGCGACCGGAGACCCAACTTGCTGAGCAAGCATTGAACATATTCAGGAAGGCCATTACGCCTGAAGTTTTCCATTTTACTCTACACGTGCAGACAAACAGCATGGCTGCAGCAAGTTTGGCAAGTACAGCACACCATACACATCCAGTGAGCATGCCCCGAGTTGTCAGATGTCTGCAGTCTGGTTTGAGTGAATGCTCTGCCTTAACTGAGACGTGTTCGGAAATCACAGACAAAACTCCAAAGTCTTCAAACTCCGAACAGGAGAAGCGCTTGTGACATGAATACCTCAATTATGAATGTACCCAGAGGAGTTCTCCAAGGGGAGCACAGAATCTCGTTTCTTAAAATAAGACTTGAAATTACTGCTAAGGTTCTATAAAAAAAGAGAGAAAACTTTTCAAGAAAAACACGTTCAAGAGGAGAAAAAGACAAGAGATACTGGAATAAGGGAAAATAGACGGACTTGAGTGTGTGGGATAGGAAAAGGGAATGAAGGAAGGGAGCAGACCAGATGTTGTCTGTCCTAGGAAGACGTGCAGCAGTGAGGAGAACATAATGGGAGCTTAATGAATTTTATACGAAGAAACAAATCGAGAGCATATGTGATGAGCATGGTGAGGAGAAAGGGGAGAGCGTATACAAAACGTAACAAAGCTGCAGAACAGAAACAAAAGTACGAAGAGGCTACTGCAGTTATATGAAGAATGAAGTCTGCTGTGGTGAAAACACGGTCACAGAACTTGTTCTTCTGGCATTCATGAAATCTAGCAACATCAAGCAGAAACTGGCAGTATGAACTTGAAATAGGAAACAGAGCCATGGTAATAAAACAAAGTGTAAATGGAAGTAATGTGTCATTGAATCCAGGAAGTAGGTGGTTAGGAGCAGAAAAGACTCACTTGAAAGTGAAGGGAGCTCTGAGTGGAGAGGTGAAGAGAGCATGAATGAGCCATGTGGCCAGAAGCAAGACTGCACACCAAGCCACATCAATAGAGCAGAGCATTTGATGACAACCCAGTCTGGTAAAGACTACAAAGGCGAGAAGGAGAGAAGGCAGCAGGCAATGTGGCACATTTGCCAAGATGAGGGAAAGAGCTTGTGAGGAGAGGAAAGGAACAGGCTATGAATCAAACTCCAAGGAAAATGGGGATGGGGAGCCTGGCTCCCGCTGTTTGACAACACAAAGCAGGAGGAGGAGGAACTCTTGACAGTTATTAGAAGGAAAGGAACGAGTGGGAAGGGGAAACCAGAAGCAAAACAATGAAAAAATCCAAACCCTCAGTTTTACTTCTGGAGCACAATCCAGGATAGGGGCAAGATCCAGGCCACAACAGAAGGAGCTGCACCGACAGCTGGGGTGATGGTAAAAGAGGTCACCAGCTTTTTTAATACTCTGAGAGCCAAAAAGAAACAAGGGGGCAGGGGGAATCAGGGAGTGGTCAACAGGGTGGAACATAAAGATGGGCATACCACAAAGAAGAATGAGGGAGCAGTAAAGGGCTGGTGCTTTGCCAAAACATGGCAGAACAGTAGAATTTAAGGCCGTGCGTGAGCAAAAGCTGGGAAGGGTAAAGACACAGATACTAGAAGAGTGGGAGCAAGAGAGAACAAGATCCGACTCAGTAGAGAACTAGGGATAGTGCAGTAACGAAGCAGGGAGAGAAGAAAAGGACAAATGAAATATTCACAGCTCAAAAGGCGTCCAGGGAGTAAAACAAGCTCAGCAGATGACTGAGCTGTATGTACCATGCTGCCTGAGGCTTCTGGCATAAACCAGGGACTGAACAAGGCAGCTACGCCAGAAAACATGCAAGGGCACCACAACGTGTGGGAAATGTCCATCTTGGCCTGGGCCCCCATGCAGAGCCCAATTAGACCCTCCACCTCTTAATGTGCAACCTACTTTTAGGGCTAGGCTGAATCTGCCTTGGCTGGAGTAACTACTAGAGCATTCAAACTCACATGGGTATCTGAACGTGACAGCCACCAGATGTCCAAGACCTCCATGGAAGAGCATGGAACAGTTTGAATTCACAACCCAGGCCCTTTCTGTAAGGTCATAAATAGGGATACAGAGAGCAAACGGCTAACAAAACTCACAAATATCTCATCTGTTGGAAAAGACTTTTCTGTGGCACCAAGCAGCAAGCTCATAGGTGCAGAATGAGTCTCTCTGAAGCCTAATCTTAAAGGATGTTAGCTTTCCTCAAATGCAAAGGCAAGTATTAAAACACTGACATGTAGGTCCCTCAGCCCCGAAGTGTGGAGCAGTGCCTGGCAGGCAGCTCAGAAGATTTGCTGTGCCAGGTATCTCCTTTCTACTGGAGAGAGGTGTGGAAAAGAATGGCTATACCTCTCCAAACTGCCCTTCTCCCAGCTTCTCCTTGAGTCGTAGCTGTTGCCGTGGGAATTCACCTACTGAGATGTCCTTCTTGGTGAGCGAATCCACAGTGAGGGCTGGCACCGCATACATATTGTTGCCCGTCACACCTTGCAGGTGGACAATATCTGTTTCAGCATAGTGAGGAACGTTGTTCTGGAAGCCTTGGTGAGGAGTGGATTTGGTCAGGTCAGGCTCAGCGTAGTCCCCACTGCACACTGAGGGGAAACCAGAGACAGCTGGAGTTGAATGCTCTCGCTTCCTCAAAACCAGTACGGCCTGGCTGCTGCTCCTCTTGATCCTGCAACCCTCTGCAAATCTCAGCCTAGCCGCACGTCTGTTACCTTGTACCAGCAGCACTGAACATCTAGATGAGGACTATGCTTTATTTTAACCGAGGCTTAAACCAGAACAAGCCACACGCCTACAGACCCCATGTTAATCAGCTGCCTGCTCTACTCAGTTAACATGAGCTAGGACTCTCGCCCAGACACAGGGGCCTGAGTTGAAAGTGATTTTCTGGTTCTGCTTCATCCTAAATGAGCTGTCCCCTCTCACCTGAGGCAGGCAGTGTTGTTTGAAATGGCACATTTGCTGTAGATCTCCCTCTGTAACATGAGCTGATTGAAGTCTTCAATTTCTTTATACCGTGTTATCATGTTACCCTCTCTATTACAGCTTACTCAAATAAATACTATGAAATAACTCTTTATAATTAATTCCCTACATGGTCAGTATTTAACTCCCTGTATGGTCAGTATTTACAGAACATTCATTTTGCTTCAGACTTGCCTCAGTCCAAATCAACTTCCTTGCATAGAATAACGCTGGATCTTAGCGACGCATCTGTACTTGAGGAATGCGGCACTGCCCTTCCATTCACTAATCCAGCAGTGCCATCATCGAGTACAAAAGCCTGTCGGATGCACACAAAAACACTTCCGAAGGCTTCCCAGGGGTCTGGGAGCCAGCGCACCACTGACAATTCTCTGCCAACTTTGAAATTCCCTCAGGAAAAAGCAGAGGCAAAGAGCCCTTCCTGCATGAAGAGGTGCTAAAGGACTTCCTCCTCTGCCAGCCAGTCTGGATAGCCCTGGAGTGCTGCAGGCAGCACCACCGCCAAGGGACTGAGACAAACAATGACTTGCTGCTGTGATGGCTAAAAGCAGCTGCTAAAAGATGGCCTGGCTAACACAAACACAGTCTTCAAAGAGAACAATAAAAGGCTGTGTATTGAGGCCGATACACCATCTGCAAAAGCTACGTGCCAAAAAACGTCAGGGCTCCAGAATATTGTCTCAGGTCACTGAGTTAGTGTTGCATAGTAGTCAGAGAAGACTACCCAGACAGCGGAGTAAAAGGCAGCACATTTTAAAAGCAGACACATTTTAAAAGCTGAAGATAATAGAAAGAATAAACAATTTCTGGAGATTGATGATTATATTACCTGAATCCTCTGCACTTTGAGAGAGCTCTGGAAGCTTGTGAAGCAGTGTAGCTGGCTGGTGATATTCCAAGTCCAGTGGGAAAGCGCGTTCATAGGTGGGATTTGACTGGTGGATCTGAGTCTGGTTGTTGGCAATGGTGTAGCTGTAGAAGGAGAGACGAACTGTGGCATCCTCCTCCAGGATTCGGCGTGGGGCCTTGGGAAAAGAGCAAAAACTGCTGAGTTGATGCTAGGTTGCCGAGTGACGTGTCAGCTACAACCATTTCCGGTAACATCTTGGGTAGGGCCTGCATCCTCCCCTGCCCTAGAAATAGGGTTTTAGCTACTAGATAGAATAGGTGTAACCCTGTGCTTTCCACGTAATTCAGAGCTCATTAGAGTTAATACTGAGCTGCTAAACAGCCCCATTGTATTACCTTTTCCAACCTTTTTTGGACATACTGCTTCCAAAGAATAATGATTATAATCATCAGGAGCAGAAGAATAATAGCCACAAGGCAGCCCACAAGGATGGAGGTATTAGAGTCATCTGCTTTCTCTCCTATCCAGGTGCTGGTTACAGAAGATGTGGTTTCTGCAGTCAGAGAAATTAAGAAGAATCCTGAGTCAAAGCAGCACAGGTTGTTTTATGCGCTGGCCAACTTCCATGAACCCATGCTCCTTTCTACAGTCTGGTACAGAAAAGATCTTAGGCAGCTTCCTGAGTATTAGCATTAGTTGTGTTCACGCTTTGCTTAAATCAAATTCTCACTTAGGGGGTTCAGAACTAAGAATTGTGCAGCGGACCTCTGCAACTAAATTCATGACATTGGAAAAGATTCCTTGGCTGGATTTGTGTTAAAGCAGACAACACCTTCAAGCACAGAGTTTAAGAGTTTTCAGTGGCTGCACATACGCATCCAGCCCACTTGCTCTGAGGCAGCCTCAGCCAGCCAAGGCAGGAAGAAACAGCTGAGGCTCAGAGGACTAAAATACAGCCCTGTGTACAAGGCCAATAACCAGACCATAAGCCAGATCTCCAGAAAGACAAGGACAGACCGTGTTAACTAGGGTGTTATGGTGAAATCCCCGGGCACTTGGGCCCTTGGTGCAGCTAAGGGACAGAAATCCTTACCCCAGATCCCCTCGGTGACGTTGTATTCTGCTTCCAGAGGTTCTGTTGTGCTTGGGGCTACTGTCACCAAAATAGGATTTACACTCTCCATGTCTGCGGCAGGGAAGGGAAAGCATCAGTTCAACAGTCAATCTCTACTCCTGCTTGCCAGCAGTCAGTGCAATCCCAGCTGTGCCCCCGGCCCTCCCAGCTACAGCCAGGCTGAGACCCATGTAGCAGATCATGAAGCGTGAGTGCACTTATGTGTTCAGCCAGCACTTCCCAGAGCTCCTGCATGGAGAAGCAGAGGCTCCACAGCCTCTCATTTGAGTGCCCTGTACTTCCCAACCACAGCAAACTGCACCACATGCAGGACTATTCCCAGAGCTCAGCCAGACAGAGGAAACCAGGACAGGAGCTTTGCTTCATTTTGGCATGATTATGAGAACAGTCATCCCAGGCCAGACCAACAGCCTGCCCAGTTGCACGTCTGACAGGGAAGGTAGCCAGGAGGGGCTGCTACCAACAAGATAGAAACAAGCTGCAAACTCCAGTACTGCCCTCTCGTTACGGCTGTTTAACCATAAGCTCCTAAGTGGGAAGTTATATCCAGATCATTGCATTTTGCTCAGTGACTGCCGTTTTCTCCAAGAGTCTGTCCACTCCCCTCCAGAGCCTTCCCAAGCACCTCAGCACTGACTCCTACCTTATAGTTAGGACTTGAGCAAAAAATTCTGCCTCCTGCTTTTTAATAAACTTGCAATCTGCTAAGTTTATAGCTATCTACAGATGTAATGTAATTTTTCATAAAAAACCCAAGAGGTAAAAATCAACCCAATAGGCAGCAAGCAACCATCTTAAAAAAAAAAAAAAAAAAAAAAAAAAAAAAAAAAAAAAAAAAAAAAAAAAAAAAAAAAACAACAACACCCTATCATCCCATTTCTGGTCCTGCTACTGCACACCTGCATCAGTGTCAGCTTTAAAGTCCTCCCTATACATTTGCCTTTTCTGCTTCTGCATTGCCCTTTTAACCCTAATCAGCCTCATACCCTCTTCTTCAGTGGGAGCAGAGGGTAGGCTGAACTATGTGATGGGCTACACCACCCTCTTAAAGCCATGCCCCGCTGGCCTGCACCCCAGGCTGCCTCCTCTGTCCCCTCCTCACCATCCTGCAGCCTCCCAGCTATCCTACATTTCCCTATTACACTCCTACCCCTCGCAGGGCACTCAATACTACCTCTTGCTGCCCTTCGTGTAGCCCCATGCTGTCCCACACTGGTGTTAACCTCACACAATTGGCACCTCCACGCTCCCCTAGATCTTTTGAGCCAGAGGAACACTCACCAGACTGGAAGGAAATCTCACTCATCATCATCCAGGAGTCGGCAAAGTAGAAGCGGCAAAGTATGGCTTTACCCACGCGCTGATTGAGGGGGACAGTCACAAACCTCGCACTGGGGTTTTTGTCATCTAAGACAGTTGCCACTCCAACAGGTTCAGACTCCCAGTCTGCAATCAGGCGTGGTTTGAACAGACACTCCACCTTCTGGAAGATCTTCACTCCCTTGGAAAACATGTTGTTACAGTGCACCTAGCAAGAAGAAACACACCAACCAGATAGGAAGATTTACTGAAACCAAAAAAATCAAGGCTTGGTGACTTCCTGTTCGTGAAGCTCTTCTATTTCTAACAACCATCTATATGAATACTCTTAAGCCAGCATGAGTGACTTATTCCAGTAAAGCCCCATCCACCCTTGCTCAGCAGTGAGAATGTCCATGCAAAAAGTGATTCTGAAACAGCTGTTAATTTAGTTTCTGCATGTCAAGTTAACAGTGGAGCCTTGGCAGGCTCTCAGAGACCCAGCAAAATGCAACAACGATAACAGAAAACCCCCCCAAAGCGCAAAACATACCACCCTATATTAATCTAAAGCTTCACAGAACAATTCTCCTTGAACATATATCCTAAGACAGGAAAGGAAACCATATCTGGGCTCTACAGCCTCTTTCACAAACCCACAGTGTCTGCACTGTAAGCTGATTTCTCCAAAAAATTACCAAGCAGTATATGCAAGCCAGAGAAGAAGCTACTCCATTGACACATAGCAGTAGTTCTGCTGTGGCTGCCCCTGAAGACAATCAAGGATCTGTTTTCTTCACACTATCATGTAAGCCTGAACCTATCAGCCTCTCCTGGTGGCTCAGTACATCATCAGCACGTCCCTGCTGCAATAGCACCACTGACTAACGATGCTGGAATTTAAACCATCGTCGCTACGCTGCCAAGCTAACATCTCACTAACACAGAGGCATCCTCACGTATCTCTGAGCTACGGCTCCGCACAGTCTGCTTTCAGACCAAGCGGTTTGCAGACTGCTGTCAGGCTGACTTCACACCTCCATATTTGGGAGGTTTGTTTTGCCCTCCCAAAAGCTGGTAGCAACTTTCCTCTTCCTGCTCTTGGGCTGCACCCAAGCTCAAGAGGCTCCAGCATAAGTGACGGAGGCAGAGGACCTAACAGCTCCTCCACCGGACCTAGGGCTCCTCCACCACGGGCCCATCAACACTGACACATAGCACGCTGCCAGGCCTCCAGCACCACTGGGGAAAAGAGCTTCAAGGAGACAAGGCTCACAAGGATCCCTTATGCTATTATCCTGGCTCTCTTACTTTAATAGAAATATTGTCCTTGAGTTTGGAGTATGTGGGGGTTTTTTTGTTTTTTTAACGTGACAGTTTATATTCCGCCATGAAGATCTGGACCACAGCACCAGGAAGTATAAGGAATAGGGTAGCCCTCAAAGTCCAGTGTTCCTCCCAGCCTGCTCTTCCATTTTCATAGCCATGGTGGCCTGACCCTCCCTCGAGGCTCCAGGAATTATTTCCTAATGACTGCACAGCATTAACAACTGCAACAACCACAGTTTCTGCACTAAGTGCGGCTTTGAACCTTAATTGCTTAGCCTGCGTTGACGTCTTGCAGTGACTAGGAGTGAAGTGGTAATGAGGACGACAGGCCTGAGCAGCAGGAAAAAGACAAAAAGAGGGTATTTGAGTATAATCGGGAACAGATGAAGCCTAGACAACATTATTCAATAAGGAGGTATAGTCATCCATAACAAGGCAGGAAAGCCTGGTGCCTGCAATACATGGTTTGTGCCAGATTTGGACAGAATTTGGATATGTTCACATCTTGGAGTGATACAGGAATACTTTCTATTCCAACTATTATGGAGCGTGGTGTTAAGCACTGCCTAAAGTCCATCTTTACAATATGTAAGCCTAAGTATTTTGCAATGAAGTTGCAAAATTTGGTATTTATTTTAAACACTCCCTTGTATATTGGGGAAGTTCAAAGGACTGGAATAAAGGTAATAGACACTAATATTAAGATATATAGCAGGAAATAAATGATTAGCAGCTAACTAGCTTATACAAAATAAATGCAAAGCTGAAACAGCATACATTGATTAGCATAAACTATCCTTCATTTTTAAACTATCCTTAATTTTTAATTCAATGCAGTCTTATGAAATACTAAAAAAGTTGCTACTTCAAGCTTATGCATTTGATTGATCCGGATGGCTGTGTTTACATGACAGATTTTTATACAGCATTTGATTTATTCTCATTATAACACGCACTCCCAACTAGCATAATATGAACTCATGAATTATATAATTTGATTAAAATTTGCCAATCTTAAAAATTAAGGCATCATTCTTCATCAGGTTCTTTTTCTAGCAGGAACATATTCCTAGTCCAAGGCTATTTACTATCTTTTTCAGTGATCTGAGACAGTAAAATCACTAGCAATAAGATAAAAAAAAGAAGCAACAAAATCCAACAGAAATGTCAGTTTTACAACTAATCTGAACTGCACAACAAGCTGGGTCCTCCAATTGACTCATCTGAAGTTAATGAATTCAGGAAAAAAACATAAATCACACTTTCTGGATTGCACTTTTATCCTGGAAACCAATACTTTTGGATAAGATTTTGGTATCATGCTAAAAGTCAAATGAACATTGGCTCCCTATCCTTTGGAAGGGGGAAGGAAAAAAAAAAAAAAAAGACATCCCCCCCCCCCCAAACAACAAATGTGATCACAGGATTCATAAACAAAGTATAAACAAAAGCAGAAAATCGGTATCACTCTTCTATGGAGTTTGATGGAAAGCCTGCATCCAATTCCACCCTTTATACCTCCAAAAGGGTACTGGCAAGCAAAAAGAAGTTTGGAAAAGAACGGTAGAAGCAATCCTGGATCTCACAATGAAGGAATTGAGAAGCCCAGCCAACTCAGTTTACTGAAGCAAAGATTAAGAAAGTCATTTAATCACAGTCTAGAAACAGGAGAATTTCTGAGAAGACAGGACTCAGAATTTTTGCCAGCAAAAGCAGGCAAAGAGCCAACAGTTGCAAGTTAAAAATAGACAAAATAAAACCAGGGTAAGTAACCACCAAAACAATTTACTTAAGGATGTGGTGGGTTCTCCTTCATTTGAAATCTTTACAAGAAAAGCCACTGATCCTTTTAAAGGGATTCTGCTATTTACTACAAGGCAAGGTCTGTCTATAGGCAAGGCCTTTAAACAGTAAGTAGCCTACATCCTGAATCCATCTTCATCATCAACAGGGGCTGCCCAAACACTACCCCAGGTGTCTGCTTTTTAGTCCTTAATCATTTAAGCCAAACACTGAAAGAAAAGTGTCTGAGCCTGGGATAGGCAAGCGCTCCCCTGCTGCAGCTTTCTCCATGGGCAAACCTGGGATATTCCCTGCTCAAATTCTGCCTCTGGTGGGCTGCTAAGGGCCTCACATGCTTATGCTTTGGGGAGGGAGCCTAGAGGGGCAAGTCGGAAGCACCCAGACCCAAAGCCCACCGCAGATGACAGGAGAGGGAGGACATGGATACCTTCATGGAGGTGAAGTTCCGTGGCCGGTCAAACTGAAACTCCATCTCAACAGCGCCCGTGCTGAAGCTCTCGTTCTTCCAGCCGACGTAGTCGTAGCCCGGCCACACGCGGTACTGGTGGCTCTGTGTGAAATCATCCAGTCCCAGCACACCGTCCGTCAGCTGGCCCAGGCCTCCGTACAAGTGCCTAGCAAGAAAGGGCTAACAGTAAGAGAACACCAGCCAGGAAAAGCTCAGGCTCCTTGACCCACTGGAGTGTGAGAGCACTTAAGTCTTTCAACTGGTACCAGGAAAAACATTAGTTTAATTATTCTTAACCCATCCTGGACAAGAACTCATTCCCTGTTATTGTGCAACATCACCTTTATTTTATTCAGGCTGAACTCTGAAAACCTTTCCCTGCTTTGCAAAAGGCAGAAGTTTCTGCACTGATGTGAACCACCGACAGCAAAGCCTAGCAACAAGTAGAGTCTCTTGAGAATGAAAGCGAAGGCTCTAGAAAAGACATTTTGGGTTCTCCTAACAGAGGGCTTTAAGTGAAACATTTCACTGCAGAGCTGCACGGAAGGAGCACTGCTCTGTCCTACTCTGGGAGGATGGGTGAGGGAAAGTTTGCAGGCAGGCACAGAAAAGTGTAGAAAAAGGGCAGTGAGAGGCCATGGTCAGCTAGTCCAGCACTCGCAACCAGACCCAGCCAATTCTACCTGGAATTAGTTCTGACACTGCTCCTCACACAAGAAGAGAGCATTACCAGCACCGTTCACAAGGCTGATCAGATTCTTCTCTCTTGACTCTGCATGCTTCCGCTTTGTATCTGAGAGTATAGAGCCCATTGGGACAGTGCTGGAAAACTGTATGGAGTAGATGCTGAACAAGGTACGTTCCTGGCCCAACTGCCTTTTGAGAGTGCTCCCTATGGTGGGGGGAGAGTGCTAACAGTCCCCTGAGCCCGTTTCATTTAACTAGGCAGTTGTTGTAACCAGGGCTGGATTGCTGGGATATGCATTGAAGATCCCCAAGTCCGCTCTAGGTTAAGCTCTCCTATAATTGGGATTTGCACTAGTCTGCATGTCTTGAACTCCAAACAGGACTCACAGCTGGAAAAGGCAGACTCCTGCCTCCGAGCCAGTCAGGCACTTGACCTACAGTTTAACTAGTTTGAAAGACTCCTTGCTCAGCACGTTGGTTTTGTGCCTGCATCTAGAGCTCCCTGGCACTCCCCAGCAAAGCCTTCTTCCTAAGTTAGGGCTCAGCAGCTAAGTGCAACACCTATGTCCTTCTGCACATGTGACTTTTTATAAGACACTCTCTAAAACATAAGCTGTGATTCAAAGGAAATTTTGATCTCATAACATGGACTTTGAATTTCTAAGTATCTGCTTTTAAAAATATTTTCTGCAAGTGAAAATACCTTTGGGTGAAGCGCATTATTCAAAGGCTAGGTTTCCATGTTCAGTCTAACATATCAATACAGCTTGAAAGCATCAGATATTGTCTTATTGAGACCTAATTACCTAGTATATTGCAACATCCCTCAGATATAGAACGTATTCCCCTTCCCCCCATGTTTTTGACTCCAGCATAGTAGAACAGAAATAATTTTAAAAATCGCCTCTAAGTATGAAAAAATTGTGGCCCTAGCAAAAGTTTTCGGAAAGTTAGTAACAACTTAAACGGGAGCATACAATAAAGCTTAGATCTTAGCTCAACAGGTGCCACCAGGTCACTTATCAGTCACCTTTTTGCACTAGCAGGGATCTGCTGCCTCAAGAGGAGGCCTGTGCCTAAGCTTGCCCAACATTTCAAGCCATTTAAACATATTCAAATCTGTATTTATGGCACAGAAAAGTGGTGATGCTAGGTCTCTGAAAGTGCAGCCAGTTACTTAACATTTCAGATTCAGACTCTTAATGAACTCTTTCTTCCACGGGAGTCAACTATAAGATAAACCAAATGACCTCAAAACGTCAACAAGTGTCCTAATTTACCTCAGTGATTTCAAATATTAACATGCCTTGTAACGAGCTGTCAAAATCCAGTGATTCTGGGCTATTTGACTCCAAACTGGAAAAGCATCATACCCAAGAAATCTTTACAGTGAGAAATCAGCCACCTTCCTTTGATACCACATTGGCAGTGGTGCCTCTGCTGACTTGTAGCTTCTCACAGGGACTGATGCAGTTTTCCAAATTGTTTGAAGTCCTCAGGGCTTTGTTTTCAAAAAGAATATCTCACATCTGTCCAGAAGCTCACAGGTATCAAGTGCAGGCCTAGCGTTCAGGTGTTGCGTACTTTCTCGGATGCCCAATTTACCCTGGAGACCTCCTGCAACAGTTTAAGATGCAGTCTGCTGGAGAACGCACTTCAAAGATAAACTCCAGAAGCAAAGGCAGCAAAGAGGGGAAGGACCTTCAGCTGGTCCAGGACACTGGGATCGTTCAAGTGAAAGGTCCAGCCAGCTCTCCCACTCCGATCTTGGGCAACAAAAGAGTAGCAGCACCTTATGATCTGCAGCATCAGCAACAGCTTAAGGCTATACCTGATCAGCAATGAAACAGTGCAATGAATACACTAGAGACCAAGAACGATGAGGGCTTTAAGGCAACCAGAAATATCAGAACTGTCTCATCACACCATGTACAGACGAACAAAGATAGCACTTAACTGTATAATGACAGACCCTTCTCTTTGAAGAGAAGCACCAAAGACTTCCAATAACAGACAAATAATTTGCTTCTTGGTCACCTTCACCAGCTAGGATGGAATGACTCATGAGCTTGCGCCCTCCTTCAAACCACCAATCAACAACACAAAGGATCTAGAACAACCAAGCCACTCAAATAGCAAACACTTTGGAGAACTAGGAGGCTAGCTTGGAGCTAGGAAGGTCTTACCAAGGAAGCGTTTGGGATGCAGGATACTAATGACAGGATAAGTAAGAAAGAAGAGAGAATTTGCACAGTGACAGAGAGAACAGGACGACTTCTCCCACCTGCGCTCATGGTAGCCATCATAGGTCGAGTCATTCAGATAAACGATGGGGAAGCCAGGAGCCGCTATTGTCCCTCCTTCAGGGATGCTATAGGATGCCAAACCATCTAAAAGAGAAGGCCATACACCTCATAAACACAGCAGCAGCCGCCTTCCACCATCTCTGCCCGTGTGATTGTTATTTATGATGCGGACCACCAGAAGCAGTTCTGTGGGCCTGGAAATCCTTCTCATGTGTGGGGACACTGGGGAGTCCCAGTCAGTGTTGTGTAAAGACTACTCTTCAGTCACAGGCATGGCAATCGCTACTTACCATACCAGACACAGCCATAGAGCTCCACCCTCATACAGACAGTCATTGGCAGCTCCGTCACAGGAATCACCCGGATAAAACGAGCAATGATGGGAGGCCGAAGATCTTTCAAGACCACATCATACGTATCAATGTTGCCTTGGATAACCTGGAAAAGAGAGGTCCTTACCGGTAACTTCCTGGTGTGCAGTTCATGTGTACAGGGTGTACTTGTACCCCATCATTTGGGACTGGAGAGGTTCCCCATGTGGTATCTGCAGAGGGTTGGCTGCTGCTGCTCCCCTCCTCCTAGCCAGTGCACAGCTTAGGTGAAGGGTGCTTGCTACCATTTCACTTCCTGTCCACTGCAGACCTGTGCCAGGAAGGACTCTGAGGCAGAGGGGAAAGGCAGCTGGGAGACAAATGTACACACGGACTATACATTACAGAGAATTTCAGTTACTGGTACATAACCTCCCTTTCGAGTGAGTCTACATGTACATTCTAAAAGTAGGTAATGCTGAGCACTTGCCCTCATCACCAGTCACCCGGGGAGGGTCCTGACGTTGGCTTCTGCACTATTCCATAGAAAAAGGACAAAATATCACAGCTGGTGCAGCATCCTTCATAGATGAAGGTCCAAGTAGCTGCACAGCAGATGTCTTGAACTGAAACACTTAGCATCACAACTGCCCCATCCTGATAAAGTGCAGTCTGATCTGGCATGGAGTTTCAACTGCTCCTTCCCTTCTGTTTCATTGCAGTTCTGAGAACAGCCCGCTATCTGCTTCAACAGTCACTGTATGGGAACAGCTGAAGCTGTCAATTCCCCAGTGAAGGGCTCAACAAGCCTGAGAGATTTTTGAAAGGGTCTGGAACTCTGGAGACAAGATAAGAACACTTCTGACATCAAGGGCCTAAACTGCTGGTGCAAGGACTCCTGTTCAAAGAGGCTCTCAGTGGAAGGAGGGATCAGAAGCTAAGGCTGCTCGAAAAACCACGTGAATTGGAATTGTTGGTGTGTAGGCAATTTAAAAGATGAGGGAGGTCAACGAGGAAGCAGGAGGATAGCTTCTTCCTCCTGGCAGCAGGGAAGATCTCCAGAGAGTGACTTGAGTCACTAGAGAAGTGAAGGACCTTGGACCTTGTTATACCACAACAGGAAGCACCTCAGAACATAGCATCTTTCTTGCGACCAGCCAGGATGGACAGTTCCAGGAAGGCAGTTGAAACAATGTGAGGGAAGACCACATCCATTTTTATCAAAAGCCACCTGAAGACCTGCATAGAAAGTCTTCTGAACTCCACCAGGATAGCCTGAAATGCTTTTGTGCACCTGATGGGGGGAGTCTACAAAGCAGTACAGCCTCAGCAGTTTAAATGATGGTTAGAGCAGGCTCACTTCCTCATCCTCTTCTGCCCCTCAACAGGCTTAACTTGCAGCCTCTTGACATCCCTGTTCCTAGGACAAACGCTCGTGATCTCTTCCACTGAAATATGGACATATAAATGATCCTTGTCTTTAATCACTGTTACCAGGTGTCTGATGCAGCCATCAAATGATCTAAGATAGGAGAGCTGTAAGACACCTAAGCTGGCTCCACACAATCTCACTGATGTGAAATTCTGCTGTGTGTTAGTTTCTCTAGGGTCTCATTTCCTTTTGACTGCAGATCGATTTTTCTTCTTCCTTAGGAGGGATGTGTAGAAATTCTGCTATTTGACTGCAGACAGTCTTGAAATACCTCAGGTCTTCATTATAGGAGTTGGACAGATCCTCTGGAGTTGGCCATTCCTCAGGGGAATCTCCAAGATAGCATCAATATCTCAAGCCAAAAAGGTCCTACATGGACCAATATGGACTCACTGCTGGACAGAGGACGACCCCCCTCCCCCCCCCCCCCCCCCCCCCCCCCCATAAAAAGGTATCTTAACACCAGCTCCATAGTGGAAGAGCCAACATTTCCGATTTCATACCTGTCTGATATAGGCATCGTCTGAGAGAAGCAAAGGGGAAAATGCACTTGGCACAGCACCTCCACAAGTGGGGGATGCTGCTGTTGAGCACAGTTTCTTTGGCTGTGAGAAACTAAGCGATGAACTGTGTGTGGAATGAACTCGGCACTGATCTCCATCACTGACAACTGATGGTGCCAATCAACATTCTCAACAGCATTAGGAATAAGTCGTGCTGCAGAAAAACAACCCCAGTTGGCAGATGCTGGAGAAGCTGACGAGACCAGGACGCAACAGTGCTGCGCCATGCAACATTAGTGCCAGTGGAGAGCACCATCCCGAACTGGTGTCAGAGACAAGGCAACAGCAGCTTGACCCTTTGCCTTTACTGAGTACAAAGCTAGAGCTGACTTTCCTGGTGCGGTTCTGGTGCACATCCCACATGCCTGATGACCCCACAACCCTGTGAAATCTGGAACTTAGCAGCACAGTGAAGGGATCTTGCTGGTTGAAGCCATTTGGGTGATCCCCCCGGATAAGGGCATGCCAAGATGGGCTCACACTGTCACACTGTGATATCTCAGTGCCTGCACATTTATCAGCTGCAGCACTGAAAGAAGCCTTCCAAAAGGATTAAAAAATTTGACTCTTGCACCTACATCTGCACCTCATTCCAAGGCTTGAATGATTTTGTAGGACATTTTACAAATGATTTGATGATCAGACAGGTAACAAAGGATATAGAGAAGGCAGAGTTATTGAATACTGCCTTTGCTTCAGTCTTCCCTGCTCAGGCCAGTCCTCAGGAATTCCAGACCTTGGAGGCAAGAGAGGAAGGCTGGGGAAAGGAAGACTCTCCCTTGGTCGAGGAGGATCAGGTTAGAGATCTTTTGTCCAAACTTGACATCCATAAATCCATGGGCCCTGACGGGATGCACCCACGAGTGCTGAGGGAGCTGGTGGATGTTATTGCTAGGCCACTCTCCATCATCTTGGAAAGGTCCTGGAGATCAGGAGAGGTGCCTGAGGACTGGAAGAAAGCCAATGTCACCCCAGTCTTCCAAAAGGGCAAGGAGGAGGAGCCAGGAAACTACAGGCCTGTCAGCCTCACCTCCATCCCTGGAAAGGGGATGGAGCAGCTCCTCCTGGAGGTCATCACTAAGCATGTGGAGGACAAGAAGGTGATCAGGAGTAGTCAGCATGGATTCACCAAAGGGAAATCATGCTTGACCAATCTGATAGCCTTCTCTGATGGGATGACTGGCTGGGTAGATGAGGGCAGAGCAGTGGATGTTGTCTCCCTGGACTTCAGCAAGGCTTTGCACACTGTCTCCCATCGCGTCCTCCTAGGTAAGCTCAGGAAGTGTGGGCTAGACGAGTGGACAGTGAGGTGGCTTGAGAACTGGCTGGATGGCCAAGCTCAGAGGGTTGTGGTGAATGGCGCAGAGTCAAGTTGGAGGCCTGTAGCTAGTGGTGTCCCCCAGGGGTCAACATTAGGTCCAGTCTTGTTCAGTGTATTCCTCAAGGACCTGGAGGAAGGGACAGAGTGCACCCTCAGCAAGTTGGCTGATGATACTAAACTGGGGGGAGTGGCT